GTCCTGGGTATTTCCATCTCTTTCTGGTGTTATAGTTTCTCTTTGTTTGTAAGATAGTTCACTCTGCTGCCAGCAGACATGTCCATGTTTGTTATTTGTTACATGCCGCGACACTATTCCCTTTTATGTGACTGTGAAAATGAGAAACATTGAATTCATCAGCTTAGCCTCATTAAAAAAGTCAAAATAAGTGAAACCAGCACTTTTTTTATATGTTGTCTATGCTGAACTGGTTTGGCACCACAGGGCCCAGGCATAGTTAAGAATATGAGTAAAGAGCAGCTGATGCAACTGGCCCCAAAGGCCACACATTGCAAGATCAACAGAAGCAACAATAAGACTAGTATCAGATCAATCTATATACTAAAGCATTTATTGTGGGTGTGTCCATGCAGTACCTTTCTAGCTGAGTGCCGACAACCACCTCTTTCAGCTCCACTATGTTGGGATGTCTCAGCCTCAGCAGCAGTGTGATCTCTCTGAGGCTGCTGATGGGGACCCCTGACAGATGAGGAACAGATGTCACCGATCTTTTCAGTTGATGGTGGTGCAAAAATTAGATTTTTTTAAAATTACATCTAGTTGTATGAATAAAGCTCTAGATCAGAGATACCCATAAAAAAAAAAAAAATAAAGCATGCGATGGTCTCACCGTCTTTCTCTGCGTCCATTCGCACCTTTTTCAGGGCAACAATCTCATCTGACTTGGTGTCGCGGGCACGGTCTGCAGTGAGAAAAGGAAATTGATTATTTACAGAGCATGTCACATGGACAAACTGAAGTGTTAGTCCTCAGTATTTCCTCTGCTGTCTAACTTACACACAATGCCGTATGTTCCTTCTCCTATTCGGTTGAGTTTCTCAAACTCTCTGACACTTCTGCAGCTCCCAAACTGAAGAGAGAAAAACAAGATAAAGAAACTGGGACTCAGTGAACACGTCACAGCTTTCAGTCCTGTCAAAAGAAGCAGTTTTTTATCAGGTTTGCCAAAATAAATTCATGAAACGGTTAAATGGATTGGCACTTCTCTACTCTGTCTTTGTGCTTTCTTGCTACAAGCCTCATTCAACCATTCACCTAACCATTCATTCACACTCTGATGAATGCATCAGGAGCAATTGAGGTTCAGTATTTTGCCCAAGGATATTTCTACAACCATTCATGAAGTGTGAAAATCCTTTAGATTTAATGATGCTAAACTAAAATAATTAACAAGAGACAAGTCAAGGGAGCTCCCACTGACTATCAAACCACACTGAGTCAACAAGAAGAATTGACTTTCAGGGCACTTTACCATTATCTATTATGGGATAGGACGAAAAACAAAACAAAAACCCCACAAATTAACTAAAAGCCAACAGGCATTAGACGGCCATTCTTGGATGTCTTGAGATCACTTTTTCAATCAGACTCGAGCTCCTAAAAGGCATCCTGGATGCCGGGGGAATCACTGGAGGAGGTGGATTTGGGTGCTTGAGCTTGGAGGCTTATGTGCCATTTGAACCAAGTAATAAGATTGGCTGCTGTTGGAGACAAACGAGGCAACAATGTGCGCAGACTTCACCTTTAAAGGCGCTTCGCTAATTAATCAATTACGTCTATACAAAGTGCACACACAAGCGGTTTATTTACCGATAAAGTCTAGATGGGGAGCATGCCGCCTGCAGTTAGCGTTTAGTTAGCATTATTCAGTTTCAGGGCTAAAGTGTCGTAAATACTGACTGAAAGAAAGCTCTACAGCGAACTTTATTATTTTAAATGCATGCCGGGTTTTTTTTAACTGAAGAGCTAGACTTGTAAAATTGTGTCAGTTGGTATTCTGTATGTAAAATGTCGTGGCTGAATGGCAGAGTATAATTAAACAACCACGGTCATGAACGGACCCACACGGAAGGAGCTCGTTCTCTTACCCTGTAATTTTGAGGCACTGTGAAAGTTTTATTGTCCTTAAGAGACTTCAGCTTTATGGGGTCCGGTTCGTCCTCTCCAGCCGCGTCCATTGTTTTATTTAAATGCAGTTTTTGGACTAAAATAAGTCCCGAAGAAAGCACATCTACAAAAAGCAGCACCTCATTCAGCCGCCATTGAGGTTTGTTTTGGTAAGGGGAGGACAACCAACAGCTTTCCCGGAGTTTGTGAACGGCTTCTGCGTCCCGTACCTGGACCGATATCTGTCAATTCCGGAAAAAATTATTTTTGGAAAACTGTAAAACAAGGAGGAAAGTGATATAATTGACACTTAAAGAAAAACAGGCCACATACAGCCAGCAAGAAACGTACAAAATATTAGTGAATTGAATATGCTATACGGCAATACTATCTGATGATTGCCCTTTTATTATAATATATAGTTTTAACTATATTTTATATTAAAAAAAATATCGACATTGAAATATATTTATATAAAAAAACTGACTGAATGCTGTATTTCAGGACAGTGAACAATGCCGAAAATAGGCCTTTGGAGGTCGACTACACTTTATGACTGGACAACATACAGAGGTCTTAGTAAACATTTTTTTCTGGCTGCAGTACATTTAAACTATATTATTTTTTGTGGTGGATGCCCAGAAATATTTTATACAATCAGGTAAAAACAATTGATTAATAAATATTTTGGGATGTTAGATTGTTACAGAATCAACAAATTAACTCTCCTTCACAACAACAGTGTCACGAGATGAGGATGGGGGACCCATGGATACACAATCTAATATCATCATGTTGGTATTGTTCCTGGATCAGTAAAACTAATGTTGGCCCATGTTCAATACTGCAGGTGGCTAATCATATTGTAGTGATGTCATATTTGTACGTTGTGGAAACACAATCACACCACACACCAATCCGTAACTCTAACCCTATCAGATAGACCAAGCCCAGACACCCTGCAGAGGAAGATAATTTCCTCAACAGGTTAAAAATAAGCCTTTTGTATTCAGTAAACTTTGAACTGTTGGGAGTTTCCAGTCCCTGGCCAGTTACGTGTGTTGGTAGTAATCCAATCTTCTCAAGCTTGGCATGAGTAGCAGATTCCAAGATATCCTGGCCTTTAGTACTTTGTCTAGGTCAAGACTTTTTCCACTTTCAATTAACAAACCAATTGTGTCTTTTTCCATTACACACTGTATTGTAAATACCCATATCTCTACTTCTACAACAAGATAACCCAGAAGTGCATCAGCAATAAGGAGCTCATAAGATCAGTTCCCCTTTGAGTCCAGTCTGTTGTAGATTGATAATAATAATAGTAATAGAACACTGTAAAACTCGCACAAAGGACAGTGGACTAAAGTCACCCTCTTTTGCAATTAACCTAATTACTGGATATGTTCACCTGACTGAATGTGACCACTACAAGCAACCAGAGAATAAGCTGCAAACACACAAAATGCCCATAAAATCAGAGTGCAACAAAGGAGCTGCAAAGAGTCTCAAAACGACTGTGAAGCATCAAAAATAACCAAAGACCTACAAAATTGCTGCAATGGGAGGATAAAAATGACTTCAAAGAGACAACAAATTTGTACAAAAAGATACAAAATGGCTCAACATAGGTCAAACATGCACTCACAATTCTTCAAATAAGCACATTATTTAAGAAGTAAAAGTAAGTTGGGCTAGTGTAAAAGATTTGCCGGTAAAAATGATAAGCTCAATACTGTTCAGCACTTCATAGCTGCTCTCACACGCACACCAGTGTCATGATTCAGTTTCGGGGTGATTCTTCATCACACTCAGCAAATAATCAGTCATCTCTCCTTCCAGTTTACCTCTTGTGATAGACATTTGGAGTTACTGTCTGATTGGTAGTTTCTTCCCCACTACGAAGGGTGCAGGCCCAGGCCGCTGCTCTTTGATGGCATCGGCTATCGTGATTTTGGATGGCGTGGCGTAGATGTCGTCCCGTGATGGAGCTGTGATGAGTATGATGGGCGTTCGCTGCGAGGAGTCAGTTGATTCTGTCTCAGTGTTTGGTTTTAAACTGGGGGGGCTCTCTGAAACTGGTAGGTAGAAAACCATTAACTTAGCCTCCTACCCTCGTAAATGCTCAAGTGAAGTGAGAGAATATTACTATATAGCCTGGTAAACAGTCAGTAACAGTTTACGTTAGAGGCCCATTTAAGTCATATTTTTAGTCCTTGTCTTTGGATTTAAAGATGTCCAGATATTTCCAGGAGCTTCAGGAGTTGCTGATTTAGGTCTGTTTTCTTTGAAATGACAATTGCAGTAATTACACATTTGTTATGCAGTCGGATTTTGTTTTTATTGGACATCCAAGTGAAACCTTTAAAGATAAAACATCATTATTGGCTGTCATTGGCCTACT